AGTTAGTCGTACGTTAAGTAAGTAATAGATAATAATAAACTAATTATTTATTTAATTTATTGTGTATATATATATATATATATATATATATATATAGTTTCACCATGGCTACTTTCTGTACTTTTTTTTTAATGAAGTCATACCTATTTCTAGTGCTTCATTTTCTCTCGTATTCTCTCTCATTATATGCATAATGACAGTCATATTTTCCCATAGCTAAATGGATATCACATATCATTCTGGGCTGTCTAGATAGTTGCACACACAAAAAAGGCTTTTCTGTTGTATATTTCTTAAAACTAGAAAATGTGCTAAGTAATTGTAATAACTGAGAGATTTTATAGTGATTAAACAGCAGTGACAATAAATATTTCTTAAAGACAATTTCAGCTAGTGGTGACTGGGTTGATTATGTTTCAAATAAAACTTTAAAAATTTTCTTTTTTTATTGTTCATATATACATCATAAACTTACCACACATTCAGCTCATCGGATATCCTAAAGTCTAAATGTGCTACATTTTTTTCATTTTCTTAAATAACTTATTCTTATAACTTTGAAAATGGTACAATACTTTGGTAGAAGAATTTTTTAATTGTTTTGTTTTCTAAATAAATATACTTTCAAATCACATAACTGTTTTGAAAATTAAATTACCTGTATCAAACACAGCTGGATTCTAGCAACGTATTAATAAAGCAATTATGTATACATTATCTACTTAGTTTTAGAACTTACCCTAATGCATCTTCTCCTGTATGGTTTTTAATAAAGATTGCTAGCTTGCCCTTCACAACATCATCTCTTGACTCCAATATATTTTCTAGGGTGCTCATTGTTAAACACAAGCTAAGAAATAAAAACAAGGTATTACTTACTGACACCAAAATACTTAATGGGTATGTATAATGATTTCCATACATAATGTATATCCTACAAAGTTTCACACACACACTCTTTTCTATGTTAATTGCAGATTTTAGAAATAAATACAATTTGCTATGGTAATTATGAAATACTTAGTTCTCTCAAAATAAACCTATATTATATTATTAGAATTTAAATCATAATGTTAGGAACTTAAAAAAAGGGATAAAGCAAATATTATATTTTTACATGCATAAATACAATACTAGAAACTCATAAGATCCAGTGTTCAAAAAGAGAAATGTAATGTTTGGATAGTTTAGTCAATGAATATTTCAAAATTAAGAAAATATTCTAAATACAATTTGTGTTATCACACTTTGTATGTAGAATTGCATTCATTTTTACAATGGGGACAGAGAAAATTACTTGATGATGTGCCCCAGGGAACAGAATAAAACTAACTTCATGTTGCTCTTATAATTCTACTCACTATCATATAGTTTTCAATAAAGTTGAGAATTTCTATCAGCATTTTGCTTCAGTTTGACACTACAACATCCATACTTTTGCTGGTGTTGTTACAAGCAGAAATATTCTACTCATTTTACAGAATTTACCATTAACAACTTGACTTGGAAGTATTACCATCTACAAATATCTTCAATATCAGGTACTAAACAACAAGGAAGACCTCGTGCTAAGAAAATATTATGGGCAAACAAATGTAATGTAGAAAATATTCAAGTTTCACTAAACTTGGTAATTAATAAATGGAAAACTTAAAAATACTGATGATTTTATGTTGTACATAAAAACATAACATTTCCTGACATTCCTCCAGTTATTGTGGTAACTACTCTTATCTGAACAGGAAACTAGTACATCTGGAACATGACACCACAAATGAAAAAGTAGCAGATTCCACTCACTGTCTTTGAGACAGAAACTCAACAGGAATGGACTTTCTTCTTGCACTACCATTCCATTTCTGCCCAAACACATGAGACATACATGCAAGAAAGAAATACCACCATACACTCCATGCCCACAAACATAGAGATTAAAAACAAAACTGTTAAAAGTGAACACTGAAGTATCCACTCAATATCTGGCTTATTAAAATGTTTTCATGAAGCCTGTGCATGTTTGTTTTTTATATTGTTTTATTATCTTCATGGGTTGTTTTTCACTTTATTTTTTAATCAAGCATGCTTCAGTTTCAGATTAACACCAAAAACCCCTTTTTAAGGGAAACTTTGCTATTTTAAGTGGATAAACTAATTTTTGCATATCATATTTTTAGTAAGGAGGGCATCTTAATTACATTAATTCTTAACAATTTTAATACACTTTGGTGGGGGGATCAAATTAGAATCTAACAAAGCAACAGCATTACATTGTAAATTTGCAAGTTGAAATAATTGTTAATTCTTCCATACATAGTTTAAAATATACATGTCGGAAGGTATAATAAAGTAATTTTCTATACTTCTATGTACGTGTTCTGCATGTAGTTAATACAATAAGCATAAATCAGATGTCCAATGATCACAAACATTTACCAATTGCTTAGGTTACCTCACAGAAGCTTGTACCAATTTAATTCTGTGTTTATGTATACTTTTTGAGTTGAGGCGACCCATTTCAATTGGTGACACAGATACTTGTACACTTTAGTATGACTTGGAGGCTCTCTCTCTCCTGTATATTTTCTTTTGAATAAGCATTGATAAAGGTATGAGTTTGGGGATTCTTTCCTTTGTATATGTTATCTGAAACAGTCACTGATATATGCAATCTAAGAACTCTAGGATAGTGCAGTATAACTCTTGTAGTATTACATTATTCTTTGTTCTGTTTTTATCCTGTGTAGATGTTGCTGAAAACTTTTCCAGCACCATTAGCCAGTTTGAGTTCAAACAACTAGAAGCTAACCAATAAACTATTGTGAAAAAACATGAAAAAATTTGTTTTATTATTTTTTTATGTGTTGTTTTCCTTCATTGTCCATGCCTGAAATATTATTCTGCATAACACTTCTGGAACATATAAACGTCTGTCAGACACTAGTGTACCTGGATACCACAAATCATTTTAAGTTGCACTTCATGATTGAATTGGAGTGCACAAGAACTTGAAGGTTAGTCTTACTGAGTTACTGTAAACTTTAAGGTAAAGTTTATGTCCTTCAGATAGTACATAATACAAAATTTAAACATGACATTCTATACTTGTTTTCATTATAACACTAACAAAATCATGTGTTTGTCCATCATCTGAGTATATGGTAACCGTCTGTTATTTATATAAATTATAAGTTGTAACTACAACTTAAGACTTAAGTTACATTCACCAGCTAACTTGTTGTGTTGTTAGTGTTACACTACTTAAGTAGTTTATACTTGTAAGTTATATTTATAATATTTTCAATTCATAACTTATAATATTAATAGCAATACTTAAAATTCCAGATTGCCCCTGAGCTGAAGAAGAACGGTCCACATTTCGAAAGCACTCGGGTTATGATGTTTTTATTAATTTCTATCAATACTTAAGTAATACTATTACTAATAGTACTAATAACGCTACTACCACACTGCTTTTTAGCCTGGATCTACGATTTAAAAATAGAAATGCCTTAAAAACATTAAAATCAGAAATACTTCACCTTACACATTCAATTCGAGTAACAACAATCAATACTTCTTACATAAAATAAATAACCAAAATGTTTCAAACACAAAGTACAGCACCACCTACAGTTGAAAACCGTAACTATAGTATAGCTTTGTTTGTGTGTTTTATAAATATCCGTTTACGTCTTTGAATCAATTTTTTGTGAGATTTTTAGTTAATAAAACCAGTGAATATATAATTTCCGCAAAGAGTATTCGGTAGGTCGGCGGTTTTATAATAGGAGGATCGGCAGTATAAATTATGAAGCAATAATAGATTTAAAGACAAAACAAAAAAAGTGGAAAAACATATACCACGAAAAATGAATAATGTTTCCATTAAAGTTTAAAATCACAAGAGGAAGGGCGTCCAATCCCGAAACGTTGTAAATATTAAAACAACTATTTAACATTAGCCATTTTTGTGGTGTAATTTTTTTTCCCATTTTTTCTTTTCGTTATCAAAGTAACACAGCAGTTTTTTAGTTGATTTTCTTCCTGGATTTAAAGAGTTTAAGCAAAGAAATAACGAGACTGTGCATAATGTGTTACACAAAATGAAAGCAATATTTATTTAAATCTATAGGCAAGTGCAATGTGCATACTTACTGGGTTTTCGTCAATTGATGAACTAGATTTTTCCCTTAAGATGTTTTTTCCGTCAATCAACTCACTTGAAATCCTATTTAATAGTGTTCAAATCTAAAGTAACTTAATTAATGGGAGACGTTGGATTTGTCCCTAGCCTCTATCTACTAATCATTGTCATTCAACATATGTAAGGTTATAACCCTTAGATATCATCTGCTCTAACAGTGAAGGTTACTGTTGTCATCTTTATCTTGCACGATGTGCGGCGTTATAACAATATTTTCCATGGGCAGAGCAGGCAAGATCTACAGAGCAGCAAAGGTAGCTACATCATCGTCGACTTAATGGTTTTTTGTTGTTGTTTTTTTACTATGTGTTATGTGAAAACTGCATAGATTCTGAATAAACGAAAATTTTTGAAAATTTATATCTTAAAATAAGAAGGCTGAAAATGCGCTACACAACACAGCAGCATGATATGGCAACCATCTTTCCTAATGGGTGAGCAAAGTTGTATTGAGAAAGAATAAACTAGTTTTATTTAAGAAAGGACTTGTATCGCTGAAGTTCTTCGGAAAGAAATTATACGGGAAATTAACAAACAAACATAGAGACGTAACATACACATTCACATTTCAGGCCAATATGACAATACGTACAAGAAAAAGTCACCATTTAACAGTAGCTGTGCCAGCCAACTGAGAGTCCAAGTTAGGCAAGTGCAAAAGTCAGATCACATCTACAGGCCTGGTGACTAGTTTAGAGAACTATGGAACTTGTTGTCACGTGGTATGGGCTGATAAGTATACATGTGCATGAGGTTAGTTTTTTTATCTGACACAGGAACAAGCAGAACATATTTCGACCTTGCTGTGGAGTAAAACATGTGCTTTGTTTTAATCCAACACTGTTGCCATCTAACACAAACTTTGTTTTGGTTAATGGCAACAAGCTAGGTGTAAATGTAGAGTTGCTTCTCCAACTTAGTCTTGGTAATACTGCACATCAAGAAAGAGAGGTTGTCTTTCATTTGGGCTCAGACACTCGTATCTTAGGGCCTATTGTGAAAATTGTTCCAATTTCGCTACTGGAATAGGATATCCACAGTTCTGCATTTAAACCATCTAGTACCAGCCTGATTAAGGCCGAGAAAAGTGGGCATCATGTTCAATGAAAAATAATGTGATAATTACCCTTAATGTGCAAGCAGTATTCTGTATTGTACTATGAGTACAGCATGATGCATTTTCACCTCTTACTGCGGTGATAAAACCAACACATAAAGCACACTGTTTTTGTCTGGAAAGGAGACTGTATTAGCTTGAACAGATCACTGTTCAAGCACACTTGTTGTACCAGTGCTGGCTTACAATTAAAGACATACGCCATCCAGCTTCCAGCTAGAATTATCATTGGCATGGTAAAGGAGGTAGAATAGATGAAGACTAGCAGTACTACTGGTATTCAGGGGTGAAATTCTGCTGGTTCTAATCAGTAATGAGTACTGGGACTTATTTGAGCTGCTTTATCGTTTTTTTATGTTTACATGTAGATTTTTTTATTTTTCAAAAAACAGGTCCACTTCACCCAGCTGAGCACCTCTACTTTTTTTTGAGAATTTCACCCCTGCTGGTATTGCAATCACTGTGCCATACTGTAGAACAAACTCACAATTTCTAGGGTACCTCAAGTTTCTTGTTGGGAATTGTGCAGAAAGTCTGAATTAATGCAGACACATGAACCTAGAGAATTGCTCAAGGAGTTTCCTTTTATGTTTGTGGGGCAAGATGGTTGAATGCATTGGATAATGGTTACACATCATCATATACAGATGGCATATATCCAATAAAACAACCACTATACAGGCTTCCTTGGTGAACCAGGGATATAGCTAGTACTGAAATTGAATGGATGTTTAAGAAAATAATAATACAACCTGCGTATTTCTCAAAAGAAAAAAGGAATATCAAAATTATTTGTGAACTTTAAAGGAGAAACAAGTGGATGTGTGTCAATGCCTTTCTTTTAACAAGCATAGACAAACGTCTAAATATGTTGGAAATGCCCATTGGTTCAGAACACTAGGCTTGGCTTATGGATATTAGTAAGTGGAACATAATGGTAAGAGTAGAATTAAGACTCTTTTCAGCTCTTGAGAAGTACTACATAAATTCTGCACAATGCCTTTCAATCTGTGTAATGCACTTGCAACTTTTGTGTGGTTAGTGCAAGTTACATTAAGACAACTGGAAGGGGAAGATATCTCACATATATGGATTAAATACTTGTCAAGCTGGAACTGAGAACTTGATAATTGTATTCCAGTGCATCAGGAATGCAGACTAGAAATTGAATCCAGGAAAGTATGTAGCCATGCATGCAGAAGTGCAGTTTTTTGGTCACATAGTTGGCAGAGATATATTGTCCAATGATCCTGTGAAGATCACAGCAGTCAAGGAATGGCCTCTACTTTTTAACAAATGGAAAGTTTACAGCTTTCTAGGTTTTGTGGCATATTATCAACAGTTTGTGGTCAATTTCTCCAAGATGAACACAGCATTTTTTGCACTGACTAAAGTTGATGTGCGCTTTCTATGGACACTTGAATGTTAAGACATACTCTATATCTTTAAGTGTGCTAGTATTGTCTTCTCCTTATCGAGCATCTCTGTTCTTTCTGGATACAGATTCCAGAGATTGCTGAATTGGTGCAGTTTTATCACAGGTAAAGGATAAAATAGAGTGCATGATTACATATGTCAGTCATATCTGGGGCACTCCTTCGTGCTGATACTTTACAACAAAGAAAAAACTACTTGTAGTTGTAATATTTGTCACACATCATGACCACTACTTGTATGGAAAGGGGTTCAATATATGAGTGGACCATGCATCACTGAAATAGTTAAAGAACTTTTAAAACTCAGAAGATACGATTTCACATTAAATAACCATGCCAAAAGAGTACAAGTTTGTTGTACAAACCAGATGTGGTCATCAGTATGGAAACACCGATAGCTTATCTTACCAGCCCATGAGATCATGTCCATTCAGTGAATGTTCAGGTCCTGGACACTGAGACGTCTAAAGCCATGGCAATAGCAATGATGTCAAACTATATGAGAAGTGACAATTTTGCATTTGATTAACATCCTGTACAACCAGTTAGAAGTTTTGAGAAGAGCAACTGAGGGACCAGATATAACGTGGATGCTACCTATCATGCACGAAAATAGCACATGGAAATCACTAAATGTCAAACATAGTACTGGTACATGCAAGATCTGGCACTTGCATAATCATTTATGAGAGCAGGAGAGTGTAATATAACATTGTACACAGTGTGCTGCCTGGAGGAAAAGCTGGATGGATTCATACAAATAAAATTTTTTATTAATTTATATTTTACATTTACGAAGTGAGCTTTGAAATTTTGATAACTGATCACACGTTTTGTTTTAATATCCAATCTCGTAAATACAATCTTAGTTTGTTATAATGAGACATACACAACGTATTTGTAATAATCATTTCTTTTTTGACACAAAAATCGGCTAATATTCAACATATATTGCAAAAAAAGTGTATTCTTCTTTATTTTGTGAACAATTAAGTTAAAAATGTAATGGAAACTAGTTCCAATAATACTAAGGCTTTTCTTATTCCAACTGCTTATAGTCCCCCAGTGGCACAGCGGTGTGTCTGCAGACTTACAACGCTAGAAACCGGGTTTCGATACTTGAGACCGCATGGTGGGCAGAGCACAGATAGCCCATTGTGTAGCTTTGTGGATAAATTCAAACAAAACAAAAAACTGCTTATAAGCTTTCTACCACCTTAGACTTCCTTCTCCAGGTGATAAATATTTGTACTTGAGATCTAAAATTTTCTTATTGCTTAGAACTGTTTGACCTCAATTTCATCTCACATCTGTGCTTAAAAGTTTATTTAATCTTCTAAAATTGTCCACATTAAAAGACAATGTTAGAAAACTAACAAAATCATTTGTTGTTTACAAATATACCTGTTCTTTACATTACAAATGTAATTCCACTGTTTTAATAGGCCAGGTTGATATCATTGTATTGTTGTTCTCTGTTTGGGGAAGGGGGTGGGGTCCTTTTAAGTTATCTCGTGAAAATATTTCAAAATCCATTCCACATAAGCTATAACAATTTAGTTTAGTTCCTCTTTCAACATTTCTATAATCTTGAACACTTGTAAGATGTACACTTTCGTAAAATCTTGTAGGCCTACATTGCAAATGACTTTCAAATCTCTGTAACAATACTAGAATTAATGTAAAATCAACTACTTTTACAGAGTAACTCAGTAAGCGTGTTACCTATCACAAACACAAATACTCCAGGAAATCACACTGTCTGATTCAACTTTATATCATCAAATAACTTTATCTATCTCAAAATATACTGCGAAAACGCTGATGTCAAATTATAATTTCCCAGGCCTAGCTTAAGGTTACTATTAAATCCCACAGCTCTCTCTAGCTAAAAAACCATTCACAGCAGTAAAAATATAGTTTACAACAATATTCCGTTCTTGCTTCTGGTGTTAGTGTTCGAGAATCTTTGGCCATAATGACAAAGAAACCAAGACAGAATTTAGTGGGTAGTTCCATTTAAACTTCTCTTTTGAACTTAATAAGCATTTAGTTTATATAATTCTTGCTTTTCGTAATATAGAAACTGACAACACATCCACAGTAAAACTCCAACTTAGCTAACCATAATCTAGCCATTTCGTAGGCCAAATTTGTGATTTCTTTCGTGTGTTCTAGTGTTATTTAATATTGTCAATATCAAGCAACATAAGTGAAAAGTTTCTTGGGGAACAACATATAAAATGTTTTGCTTGTTTGTTGAATTTCTCATAAACCTAATATCAATGCTATATCACTATCTATTCCTAATTATGAAATGATATACAGTATACTAGATAGAAGACAGCTACACGTCCTCGCCAAGTCTTGGGCTACTCTTTACCAACGAACAGTTATAACACTCCCACGGTTGAAATGGCGAGCATTTTCAGTAACAAAATTCGATCCTGCAACCCACAGATTGTAGGTCGAATGCCCTAACCACAATGCTATATAACACAGATTAATTAAAACACGTTTAGAAGCTTTCTAATGTATCTGTTGTACTATTCAACGTCGTATTTACTTTTTCACCTGTATATAATCGATCTATTGATCAGATATATGGCTGTTATTCTAAGTACAAAAGTTTTTAACTTGTCTCTGCTATTATTATACAGCTATAGCGGTCTTTCGAAAAATTACTGACTAACAAAATTGCTAGATTTTGATGAATGGATTTCTCTTGCGTCAACATTTTGTCAAAGCAATCATCAATCGCCTGAGCCATTACCACTCACCAAAAACTATCTATATACAAAGAAAGAGACATTATGCAGATTTACAAGATTCCAGGTATGTGTTAAATATCTTCTGTCAGTTTACTAAGTGTAATACTTTGTAAATTGTCAAGCGACATATTTTACTACCTTAGAAGGTATATCTGGCGACATCTACCGACCTTTTGAGGTTGGTTTGATGACTTAGGGAGTAAGCAACACTGTTTAACAAGAAATATGCTTCAAAGTTCAAAGGTTTACAAACTTTACAGTATAGGCGTCAAATATTATGACATATAAACAGAAGTGAGAGTGGCATAACGTTTATGTAAAGCAGCATAAAGTTCTAGGAAAACAGCAGTTCACAAAATAAATGTTAACATTATTTAATATTAGTAAGTTTATGAATTCCTAGAGCCTAACTACACTACAGTAACTCTTACAAGTTACACAGGCCTAACTAGATTTAGTGTAACTTATAAACAAAATACTGACCATATCCATAGGCCTAATTTCATAAAACAATTGCTTATATCTGAATTAAGTTTTCTAAAATATTAAAGTTAATATTAACGCTATTTTTAAGCTAGGCTTTTTGTACTTTTGTTTTACCCATGTAATACAAAATGTCAAGTTATTTCAAGTGTTTTACGTTCAGAATTAATTTAGGCCTAACATTAATGTTTTTTACACAATATTAGGCTAGTTCCACTAACGCTAATTCAAAAAGTTGGAAAGCTTCGCGTTTAAGCTAGGCCTACATAGGCTCTTCCCAGTTCTAATTAAGGGTTCAAATTGAATAGTTATAGCATACACTGGCGGAGGAAGCAAAGTTACCTAGTTAGGGGGGGATGGGGGGGGGGATGGGTTAAAGTTCACGCAAGACCTGAACATGGTAATACTGAGGATCAGAAAATTCGGCAACTATATTTATAGACTTCAAATGAGAAAATTCTTAAAAATAATCAAATGTAGATGGTAAACTGTGAATATGTGTTTTATGACAGTCATTGCTTAAGGCAAATAAATTAAACAAAAAAAGAATATTTTACTCACGAGTATGTGCATGTACCCCATTTCACATAAGGAAAATATATATCTAATTTTGTTTTACAAAAGTTAGCCATTCTTAGAATTGGTTGGTAATTTCAAAATAGTTAATCACAGCAGATTTACTTCAAAAATAATTCCCGAAATTCTTCACTTTGTCTTCTTTTCTTTTAGATGTTGCTCAGATAAAAGGTATCCTCAGCTCTTCACAACAATACTGAACAAAACTGTGCTAAAGACATCCCTTTTAACTCATTTAATGGGGTTATGATTTCAGCATTAGGTAAGACATGCATAAGAGTAAAATCGTATTAAGCAAATGTTTTAGATAAGCTTTCTAGTGTAAAGCCTCACTCTTTTTGTAATTATAACAAAAGAACCACAACATTAAACTACTCATGTTTATTATTATGGTATTTTGAGTTAAAACCAATTTCCCAAAAGAGTAAATTAGGTAGATCTGCAACCTAAGTTCTGCTAAATTTAACAGTTAGGACATAAATGGGCTGGAAATGATGGTTCATCTGTTTGTTTACCATCTTGTCATAGTACTTCTTGGGGTTAATAATACTCATCAAGTCTTGTAAAAATTTAGTAATGTTTTTTTTTTAGTAGTGAAATAAAATATTTAGTTTAAATAAAGTAATTTGTTCTTTTGATTGCAATCAAAGTAAATCATTTAATATTTAAACCAAGTACATCTGTATTTCTAAGTAAACTACAAACTGTTTTTTTATTAGAAAATTCTGGGGAAAAAAATGGACAGAAAATTTGTGAATATGATAATGAAGATAATGACAAAAGTTCAAGTAATTTATCATTTCAGTCTATTAACTTACAAGAGACTAAAACAGAAGGTGAGTTGTTAATCTTGAATAAAAACTCTTTATATGAGTAATATATATTTTTTCATTAATGTTGGTGAAAAATATATTCAATTAGGTATAAAGGAAATATTCAAAAACTTGTGGATTCACTTGTGTATAAGTGCAAATGGTATTTTGTATGTAGTGTGATGCTAAGAAAAATTGATAGGTTTTGGGAAGGATATCTAAAGGCTCTTTCCAACACAAAATATTCATATCTTCAGTTCATAAAGACATGCTCATATCAAGGATTTAGAATTTCCAAGTTGTGGCTATCTCTTATACTTAATGCATTGGAAAACAAAGGAATATGGTTAAACTTGTGGCACTGCAACCATCCAAAAAGGGAACTATATTAAGTCATACCTATAGCCAGAGTAAGCAAAAGTCTTCCACGTTCTCCAGACAACACTACACAAAATAATCAAGAAGGATCTCCATATGGAAAAAGAGGTCAATGGGGTATGGGTTCATAATGATAAGACTTTCAGTCATACCTTCCATTCATCCATCTCATACCTCAAGCACCTAGAGAATGAAATGAGTGTTCTTGCTAGTCCATACAAAAACATATTGATCAAGTTGCCTATGGATCTCTGAATCATCAGAATTTTGAAAGGGAGACTGGGAAACTATTATCCTTTTACATTAAATGAATTATGGAAAGGCTGCAGGAAGGAGGGGTGTTTTTTGGATATGACAGTATTAAGGTGGAGCCTTTTGCAGTGGAAACTACACAGCAAGGCTATTGTCAAGAGGTATGGTCATTAGATAAAGCAAGACTGGATTCAGCAGCATGGATTCTAATGATGTTGTGAGGCACTAAAATTGTTTTAATAACGTACTCAGTATTTCTTATGTTTGTGTTGATTGTAATATATTCAGTTTTTAGATTGGAAATACATTTAAGTTTATGGAGTTCAATGAAATCTTTCAATATCATTTTTACTCAAATCACATACAATATATGCAAGGTTGGTTATACTTTTGCGTTATGAGCTTCAGGCATTTTACTAAACCTTGCATGGTCTCACATATTTATCTTTCAGTTAATGCTATACTTCAAACAGATATAAGTTCATGGGTTCATATTAGAGTTTGTTCTGGACACTGCTAAACCATCAAGGTCAAAAGGAAGATTAATCAACAGTTTGTGAAGTCGCCAACCTTCTTCGGTAACCAGTATAAAGATATCTTGTTAGTAGTTTTGCTTAATTGTTTGTAGGATAAGTGCTTTATTGTGGCAACCAACCAATGGAATATTGCTCACCTGCATATAGACAGTGAAGTAGACATACTTCTTGAAGTTAACAGTTCTTACCAGTGGCATACTCACAATTTCAGACTGTTTCATCACCTATTTAAGATTTAATTTATCATTCATTTGGTATTCTAGAGTCAACTCCCATTGATGTTGGAACAATATTTATAATGTGGGTGCTGAAAACTATTGAACAAAATCATAATCCCCTGTATATGATGAACACCAGGTAATATGCTTTCAATTGCTGTTGTGTTAAAAACATAAATAAAGTGAAGCCAGCTTCAACATACATTTACATTTATAAGTAAAAATACATTCCTTAATAATAGTCCTTGTAACAATGGTTATAGCAAGTTTACCATGAAACACTGAAAGCAACGAAACATAACATTAAGTCTGCAACCAACCATTAGAGGCTTTTTTAACTACAATAATTTGAAACAAACTTTTCCTGAAGTGGCTGATGTCATATTTTGTCACAGTAAATTACTATATGTGATAAACACCATACAACAGCACTCAAGACTAGCAAAAACTACAAAATTTATATATTCAAAAAAAAACTCATTGCACTCGTATAGCTATGCATGTGATGTAAAACATAAACAGAATAAATCAACACTTTTTTTTCTAACATCACCAATAGGTGTGCAGTACCCCATACTTAATGTCAAGGGGTGTTTCCACACTCTCAGCACCTCATATTTCATAGGAATAACCTTACTTCTGTCCACATGATGGTACGGAAATCTGATAATAAAACTTGTGTTTTTCAGTAGAACTCCATGAGAAGTGGACTACTTCTCTTGGTTGTAAGTTGTTTCAAAAACTTGATCCAAGATTCTTCTCTCATTATGGAAATAGTTTATGTAACAGGTGATTTCCAAGCTCTTGGTAGATTGCAACAAACATCTTCAATTTTTGCAACCCTCAAAACTTATTCAGTGGTACTTTCAAAACTCTGCAGCCATCTCTCTGAGAGACACCTTACCCAAGACAAACTCATATGTCAGGTTAATGTTATCTGAGATTTGTGTATTTTGTGACTGCACATATTACTTCACACAATCTCCCAAGAATTGGGTAATATATTTAACTTTCAACTAGTTTTTTTGGTATGTTTCATGGCTGATAACACCACTATGTACCATGTCAATTGCATAAGGAAAAGTTAACTTGGCTAACAAATTATGTATTTCAGACAACTTCATTTCTCTATACAATCTCCATTAATGTTTTAATCTTTACCAAGTTCATCTCAACTTCACTTGATTTTATTTGGAGAAGGTAATTATCAATCTTATTGAGAGTGGATAATAAATGTTCAATGTGCTGTTTTTTTAAATGGGAAACATTCACTTTTCTTTTACCTTCAATTGGTTTCAATATTCTGACAGTTTACTAAGTTAGCATACCTTTCTAACATAAATAGTTATTGTTGATCATATCATATTACCAGTGTCTGGTACTTCAGAAATGGTTAATGTTTGCACTTCTAAAGACTCACTGCAAATATACTTTCATGGTGATTGGTGCAGCAAAATCACTGCCACTATTACACCAGTTTTATGTTGCCCTGAGCAAAAGTTATTATCTTAACAAATTCTCTTCAGAGCTCGTGATATTGATATTGGTCTTCTAGTTCTTTTCCAAAATGTTGATCATCAATTTCTTTGTCTGTCCATCTCTTTGTATCTTTACTACCAGTTCTGCCCCTAGCCATGGAATTAAAGTTTCATTTGGGAAGATGCAGTTTCAGTTTGGCTTCATATTTTATTCAGAAGTAAACATTTTTGCATATTATGCATATTAAATTTCATACTTCACTGAGCTACACTGCCTTATAAGAAGGTAATCCAGAACTTGTGGCCAATGGGTAACACAGTTGCTAACTTTTCCTCATGTTTTTCTTGTACGGAAACTTCTGCCTCATAGCAACTTTACTAAGTTGCTTCTGAGCTTAGCTATGAGGCTCTTCCATAACCTTGTATAGTCACTTGTACTTTTAGGGACATATCTCCTCACTTCCCAATGTTAACATGACACACAGAGATATATATATATATATACATAATAGAACCATGTGATCAGTCCTACTCTGTGAGGTAGAAAAGTGGTGTTAAGACGAAGGATAAAGATCAGCAACATAAAAATAAAACTAATGAGTAACTATCAAAACGTGCAAAAACAAAGATACAATTGTTTGACATGTTTAAGATATTCTACTTTGGGTGTATAATGAGATTAAGGGAAGATTGACAGAAATTCTTATGGTTATGGTCAAAGGAAGTAGAGTGAGAGGCAGACAGAGACACACTCGGTTTGATGAAATTCGAAAATGAAGTGGAGATGAGACACTATAAGACTTGACTTTGTTAATAGTAACCATATTTTATCAGTATTTTTCAGACAATGTTCATAATTTATACTGAATATATATAGGGGAAGGAAAGTAGTTGAAACCTCTAATTCAATAATTTTCTCATTAAATAATAATAAAACGTTGAAATTAACATGTGGAAACAAGTTTAATTGACTTAAAATGTTTTGCTTGTTTCTACATGTTACGAAAATGAACACATATATTTTATATGTAAATTAGGTTTTGTATTAAGTTTGAAATCTTTCATTCCTGGTGATGCTGTAACTTGGTGAAATGCAGTATAATTTCCTCCCACCTTTAGCCTTTTATATTTTAAATTTGTGAACTGGAAACTGTATAGTTTTAGTAATGTTCCTTGCACCTATGTTGTGGTACCTACTACCTAACAGCTCTTAAAGTCTCTCGGTGAATCAGCAGTAAACATATAGACTTACAAAAGCTAATCCTAGAGTTCAATTCCCTGAAATGGACAGAGGACCGGAAGATTATTTCATAGATTTGCATTAAAACAACAGTACTTACGGTTAATTTTCCTATCATCAATTCGTGTTTTCTGAAATTTTAAAATGGAAGAACTTATATTGAACAATAGCTATATAACTTTACTTAAAAAATACTGTTAGATACATGACCATTCAAATAGTTCTTGGTAATAAATGGAAACTTAAAAGATCATTGCTCAACTTAAATTGTTTGTTTTTAAGCATGGAGCTACACAATGGACTATCTCCATTGACCCACTGTGAGTATTGAACACGGAATGTTACTTTTATAAGCCTTCAATCTTACTGCTGGGCTACTAACAGAAATCTTTGGTTAAGACAACTAAAATAAAAAATTAACTGTCCATCATGTGCACACTCATCTGTTCACATTCAAGAAATGTTTAATTTTGTTTTACAGGTGTTAGTCATTCTTAGAAGTTGATTGGTAATTTCTTCATAGCTAATCATGGCAGATTTTTTGCTATAGTTATTAATGAAACTACTCACTTTGTCGTGTTTTTTATTATTTTTTTTAGAAGCTGCCCAGATGAAGCGTATTCTCAGTTCTGGTTTTATATGCGACGATACTACTCAACAGGATTGTGCTATAAGAGAAAGTTCTTTTTCCTCATTTGAAGGGTTTGGATTCTCAGCACTTGGTAAGGAATTTATAAAAGTTTTCCTTCAAAAATATTCTCAACATTTTTTAATTAGAACAAAAACTATTACATTAAAGGTATTCACACTCACCACTATAACTACACTGCATAAAACAAGTGAAGGATAATCAAAATGTTTGATACTATGTCTTTGTTACAAGACAAAAAAACAAACAAAAGAGAAACATTTTTTATAATAGATTAATTTATATTTACATGAACAATTTCTATATGCTAATAAAGTAGTGTAGATATGAGCTGTGATACCATGTGCAACATGTTGAAGACTCTTTGTTATTTCATTTAGAGCAAATTTCGTCATTGGATGATGCAAAGCTACTACACAAAGACTTACGGCTGAACATTTATGTTGTAGCCTTTCCAAGGAAGAATATTGTAGTAATATGATATTTCTTAATGATATAAAACAAAGAGACAAAACATTTCGAGTAAGGGAGTCTTCAGTGTTTTACATGGAAAGAAGAAGTAAAGATGCACAGCAGAGTGTTTTAGCAAAGGAACTGGCTTCTAAACCCCATCCAAAGCCAATCTGAAGTCATCCTCTCATATGCACAATAATCTGCAATGGATACATCAGCTAACAATGACTTTCAAGAAGTTAGAAACTGTACTATTAGGGCTAAAAGTAGTGGATTTAATAATGCTGAGGACGAGTTATGGAACCTCATATGTCCAGTTGAGGTTGAGAATGTATAAAGCTCATTCCGTTTCTATGTTACTATAGCTTGCACCTGTCAAACCATATTCTGCTTGTGCAAGTAACTTCCCTTTCCTCCCATTTTGGATTCATTTTCTAGTTCCTGGGCAAAGAGCACATCTGTTCCAGAAGTAGTGTGGTACCCCACAGGTGTGCTTCTTTTTCATCTCCAGGCACACCCATTAATTCTGGGCAGTTGCTTTCCATTTGGTTTGATATTTGTGCACCTACACTGACACCTCCACCTATGCAATGTGGGATTAGGAGGTTAACATTTTTCTTACACTGAAAATGTATTTCTGATAGGTACTTACCTCCTTTCACACACTTCCCACCCTTCCTCTCCACTATTCTCACTTGCCAATTCTCAAAAGTGAGGATTGAGCGGCAATAGCAGAGGAAGCTAGCTGCACCAGTATAGGTGGCACAATACTATTGGTGGAGAGTAGTCACATGATATGTACATGTTCAGAAAGGGTGCAAAATTGATGGGGTATATAAACTGGTGCACTGATCACAAAAATGTTTTAGCAAAGCTTAGAGGGCAGACAAACATTGAGATAGCTTTGTGTGAGAGAGGTATCTATCAGAAATACATTTTCAGTGGAAGAAAAATTTTAATACTTTTAATAACTTTTTCATACTTAATATATTTGTATCTGTGTGTTAAAATTGTGCAAACAGAACAATTTGTACATTTGATTTTGGTAATAAACGCAAATGAAACATACACCAATGTATATTTAATAAAGCAATATAATATTAATTTTTTACTTTATTTTATAATTTTTCCAACATGTGTTCTCCATTTTGGTCTTAGGTACTTCTGAAGAGAATGGAGACTATTCTCTCTCATCAAAGAAATTAAGAAATATGTCTACAGATTATGACATTTCTGATGATGAGACCCAAAAAATGCCCTCAGGCAATATTTACATTCCAAAACATTTGATCTCTTCAGTCTGTGAGGTAAGCATAAGTTGTCTGTACTCCCGCCATATAGTTACCTCTTTGATTAGATTAAAATTTAGATTTTACAAAACATTTTCATAAAACAAACA